AAATACAATAAACAAACTGTTTGTGGGACACCGGGGCACTACCTGGAAGACAGGGTTTCATAAAAATGGCAGAAAACTATGGCAGAAAAATTGAAAAAGATATGTGGCTTGGGAAAAAGGTCAAAAATCTAAAAATTAAGGAATATTCAAAAGCCTCGCACGTTGGGAGCCATTTTTGTAACGATAAGATACAAAAATGGCGAAAATCTAATACAGGCCACACACGTTGGGCGACATTTTTGTAACGGTAAGTAAAAATGTCGCAAATCTAAGAAATGCCACACACGTTGGGCGCTATTTTTGTAACGATAATATTTTGCCTACCACAGGGGCCATTAATACAAGGGGATAGAAAATTGGCGGAAGAAACTAAAGGGGTTGAGATAAGGCAAGCAAAATAATCGCTACTGATGCGAACGGACACTCAGGGTTTCGTAGGAGAGCTGGGGTCGTGGATAAGTAAAAGATAAGGGCATTGGAATGGGGGAACTACAAAAAAATGAAATAAAGGGCTTTTGGGATAAACAAAATAAAAATAAACAAGAAACACCTCAAGGAATTTAATATAGGGCGCCACTTGAGGTGCCTAATTATGCCTATTACAACCACTAGTTGTAACTAGGGAAATAATTAGAAAATAAAATCAAAACATATCTTTTTCAAATAAACTCAAAAAGGGTTAGCTTAAAAAAAATAAATAAAAAGTTAAGGAAATAAAATTTAACCTTTAATTATGTGTACCACAAACAGTTACAAATACAAATAATACTAACAAAATACAAAAAAAAAAACGACTTACAATGGCGCTTTCGGTTTACAACTCTGGGCGTTGGGGACCCTATTTGCGCGACATTTTGTAGCGGTAACTATTTAAATATTTACTTTAAGAAATGTTTACGAAAAAAAAAGAGTACCTGATATCACTGAATATTATATCTCCTTTAAAAGTTTTGGGGCTGGAACTTTACTCAAAAACACTGCAAAACAAACAAATGCTTCTCACAAGCTGCAAAATGGTCTGGAATGACCAGGGACAACAAATATACGATGAAAGCTGGGCACTGGACCATCGGACTTCGGGCTAATTAAACTGCAATCTTCAAAGCTTGGCTTTTCAAAACACAAAGCTCTTCAAAACACAGCACGACCCAAATCGGTGATTAACTCAGACAAAAACTGACACATTACATTTGAGTATAATATTCACTTCTCCACATATAAATTTGCCGGTTCCTTGAAGAATACCACCCAAGCACCTTTCCGTCAATATCATAAACCAACCTCAAATTGTAACTACACATGCTACCAAACTTCAATACTTCTGATAAAAAAAACTAATAACAAAAAAAAACATTACGAATTTGATGAAAATTCGGACTACACAAACGAAACCAACTGCCCTTGACAGCGGCTCCACCGATAGTGACGAAATTAAAAATTTGTTCGCTTAACTTGAAAATCAACGAACTGCTGAAATAGCAAAACTAACGAACGACGTAGATATCCTTTGAAACGCATTTACATGAAAAGAAATCGCCGCAGTAAAATAAACAACAATTAAATGGATTTATTACTCTACGACGTTAGAATGATTGAAAACACTTTTCGAAAGATACGAACTAAAAAACAGAAAACATTCTTCGTTTTATTAAGACGATTTCATATACGAGGTGACTTTAAATATACTTCAAAGAATCAATCAAATTTAAAATGCTACAACATGTCTTCAATATTTTCTTTTATTGTCTTCTCTTTAGTGGGAGCTAATGTCTTAGATTTTAACTGCGTGTCTACCATGTCTTTATACATATGTTTTTGTCCCTGGTCAGCACTACTCCATGTTACTCTCTGACTGGGATTAGCCTTGCCTACTCTTTTAAGTTTTATTCTGACAGTTGCAACTACAGGATTGTGGTCTGAATTTATGTCACAGCTTGGGTACGTTTTTACATTTAGAATACCATTACGGAACCTTTTATTAATTGTAATGTAGTCGATTTGGTTCCTCACAATATTTCCTTCGCAGTCTTGATATACAGACGTATACAGATGTCTTTTTGGTAATTTAAACCATGTGTTAAGAACCACCAAGTTGTTCTCTTGGCAAAATTCAACAAAGCGTGTGCCTCGTTCATTCCTCGTTCCTAAACCGGATGGTCCGATGATTGATTCGACCTTTTCTGCTCCTACCTTTGCATTCCAATCTCCCATAAATATGTTGATGTCATCTGATTTTATGTGTTTTGTAATCTTTTCAATATCGGAGTAGAAAATCTCAAGATCTGCATCTGTGCTGTCTGCTGTCGGGGCGTATACCTGTATTATATTAATGTCGAATGGTTGTCCATTTAATTTGATGATCATTACTCTGTCGCTGACTGGTAGAAAACCCTTCGTGTGTTGTTTCATGCATGCTGTTACCAGCACTCCTATACCTGATTGGGCATCATCATCTTTGCCTGCATAATAGAATCGTTAATAATCCCTATTAACGTTACAGAAATAGCGTTCGTGGATGTATAAGTAAATCGAAAGAAAGGTTACTTAGGACATAAAGTGTATCGAAAACCTACACACATAGACAGATACCTAAACAGGAACTCAAATCATCATCCAAGCCAAAAATAAGGTATCATCAAAATTCTGGCGGAGAGGGCGAAGAGAATTTGTGAACCACAACATCTCCAAAGTGAACTTTTTTATATTGAAAAAGCGCTCACCTCTAATGGTTATACCAGAAGAGAAATACACAAGGTGATGAACAACGTATCTAGAAGAAAGGACGAAGAAACAGAATGTAAAGACAAAGTGTTCTTGCCCTATATATCGGGTGTACCCAACAGAATTGGTCGAATACTTAAGAAAGCCAACGTAAAGACCATTTTAAAGCCTACAAAGAAAATCAAGGACTGTTTAAGATCGGTGAAAGACAAACGCGACCCATTAGCAACGGCCGGAGTATACCGAATACCATGCACATGTGGGATGGTATATGTGGGAACCACAAAAAGACACACAAACACAAGGATAAATGAACATTAAAGCCATTGTCGTTTAGGACACATCGACAAATCTGCCGTTGCCGAACAAGCTTTTGAAAGCGGAGAACATCGGATACTATTTGAAGAAACACAGATACTGGACAAAACTTCACAGTACTACCCACGGTTGTTTCGGGAAGCGGTGAAAATATACAAGCACCCAAACAATTTTAATCGGATAGAAGAAGGACTGAAAATTACCACGTCATGGATACCACTAATTAAAATCCACAAACGCCCTTCCTGCCAAACATGAAAAAAGAAAAGCTACTACAAACAACGACCTGCCCCCTCAAGCCGAAACCAGTGGAGGGGAGGCGAGTGGGAAATATAAATATTGCCTCCGTAGTACAACGCGGCGTCCTCTCCTCGAAACTATGGGAAAAATCCTGGAAAAAATCACCTACAAAAGACTGATGAAACACACAGAAAGAAAAAGAATGATCCAAGAAGAACAATTCGGATTGGGAATTTCAATTAGCAAGAATAATCAGCGACACGAAGATAAAGTTCACCAGGAAACAAAGGACAGGATTAGTCATACTGGACATAGAAAAAGCATATGAAACGGTTTGGAAAAGGCACTAATCTTCAAGATAGACAAAGCTAGACTTCCTCACTACTTAATCAACATTTGTGATATGTATTTATCTAATAGAACGTTCCAAGTTTCAGCTGACTAAAAGATGTCAACAATGCAAGAAATACATGAAGGGATGCCTTAGGGCAGCATTTTATCTCCAATCTTATAAAATGTTTTTGTTTAAGATCTTCCAACAGATCCAAGAACTTTAACAGCCCTATACGCGGATGATACAGCAGTGTATGCAACCGGGAGAGATGACAGAAGAATCATCAGAAATATGGAAAATCACCTAGAAAAAATCACGGAATTCACCGAAAAATGGAAAATAAAAATCAATGCAGAGAAGACGCAGTTCATCATATTCACTCAGGAGACGAGACCACCAGCGAACGAAATCACAGTAAGAGACAACAGGATCCAGGCAGGAGATTCAGTCAAATACCTAGGAGTCCATCTCAACAGAAGACTCAACTTCCGGTTGCATATACAAAAAACTAGGATAAAAGCCAATGCAGCTAAAAAACTAATACTTCCCTATATTTTCAGGACCATCCCACTAACGAAGACCAAGAAGATCCAGTTGTACCAGGCCTACGTTAGATTGGTGATACTGTATGCAGTCCCAGTCTGGAGTTCCATAGCAGAGACCAACTGGAGGAGATTAGAAACAACAGAAACATCATGCTACCGGATCATCGACCGAGCATCATGGGAAGAAAGAATCACGAATGCAACCATCAAAGAAAGGCTTCAGTATACACCACTGAGGGAGGTGGCTGAGAAAAGGACAAGGTACTTCTTCCACTAGGCCACAAGAAGACTCCGTAAGACCAGGGACATCCTCGAGAAGAACAGAATCCAGAGGATGTATAGAAACACCCATAAACTGATCGACCATCTGATCAGGGTCTAGCTGGATGGTTGCCGGAAAACAGTCAAGCAGGGAAGTAGGTGCGATGTCTAAATAAGTACCTAAAGAAGAAGACGAGGATGCCACCCACAGAAGTCCATAACCCCGAAAGGAAAATCTCCAGCAGCAGGCGGTGCAAGAGCGGGACGTCGAAGAGAAGAAATGAAATATTAAACAAGCGAAGCATTAACATCTCCAGAAGATGCCAACCTCTAGTGTTGGCGAAACGTCGAGAACTAATCTCAGAAGACAACGGCCTAACAGCCCAAACAAACAGTTTAATAAGTTTGATGAAGTCTCCTAATTTTGATGTTTTTGTCGTGAGAGGTATATGTAAAACAAAATTTTACACATTTTATATAAAATGACATAATTTTCTTATTTTTACTAAAAATTTACTTAATTTATTTTTTCTCTCTACTTAATCAACTTATGGTATTTATAATAGTTTAAGATATATTACTTTTGCATGAAATCCTGTGGCCCAGTCAGCTGTATATTTGACAACCTGGGTTCTGCCGTCTGGAAGCTGGACTCTGTATTCGCCGTTGGTCTGGTCACCGTTGTTAATAGCGTTATGTGAGTAGTCGTTCCCGTAGGATGGTTCTTTTACTTCGTAGTTAAATTGGAATGGTTCTGCGGGTTTGTGTGGAAGTTTAAGATGGTCCTCCTAAAAACATTAGATCAAAATTATTACAATTAACCTATTAAACTTCGATTAAATTTTAATCTTTTTCGGAAGAAGTAATTTATGTATATAAGCTCCATAATGACAGTTTTACATTATTCTATTTTCATGCTAGGCAAGAGCTATGCAAGACAGATCATGGAACTGCGCATGCCCACGGGCTATTTCCATGCAATTCCTGTGCTAGACGAAAAATTAGAACATGTTCTATTTTTCATGCTATTTTCTTACAATTTATCGTTAAAATTCATGTTGCCAACATAACAATTTATAATAGATTTCAGAATAAAACATAACCTTATCTCTATCCAGGAGCTTAAGGAAAGTGGACTCGCTCATTCGAAGAAAGTTTTTAAAACTTTGAAGGTCTCTAGCATCCAAGAACTCTTGGCGTAACTTCAAATTTCCCAGTCCTACATTCAACCAAGGTTTGACCCAGCATTTTCTAGGTATTCTTTTTTATTATTTTTCATGATTGTTGCTACAACAGCAATATTCAACAATAACAATGTGTTCTTTTCTTTGGTTGACATCCTTCACTCTTTTAATAACGATAAATAGTGTATATTTATTTATTATATTATTTATTTTAGTACTTAATTATATTTATTTAAAATAAAATAACCTCAAATTGATAAATATTTTCTCTGTTGGCAACAATGAAAGTGGGATCTAAAATTGCACAGAAATATCTCTGATGTAAAAAGGTCAAGCTATGCAAGAGATGTGCCATGCAAGACGGACTTGCATAGCATGAGACTTGCATAGCCTAGATGTAAAGCTGCCTTAAGAAATATGTGAAGAGTAATATAGTAAAACTATTTCACAAGTCATTTAAATAAATAAACATGAGATTTAAAATTAGACAAGAATTAGCACAACAAAGCCAAAGATAGAAAGCCACTAAATACACTAAAATCTAATTAAATCTATTTTACAGAGAAGGTACAAAGCCAAAATAGCAAGAATAACAAGAAGCACAGCCAAAAGAACTATATTGGACTGGGTGGAATGGATAAAACTTAATCACTGGTACTAGTTTACATTTTACAGTTTACATTTACAATTTTGTACACAAAATATAAAAAGATTTTTAACCTTCTAGAATTGATTGCTGGGGCTGACATTCGGTAACCGTGCTCATTTGTATTTTGTATTTGTATTTGTTTGTATTTTGAGAACGATTTCCGAAGTGGAAATTGAAACGTCAATAAACGTATTTTTATCTTTCATTGTGGCTTATTGTGGCCCAGTTAAATAGTAATTAATTCATCAATGTGTTATTAGAATGGAATAGAATAGAATATTCTTTATTAATCCAATCAGATTATCTTGTGATATAGAACAAGTTATATAGTACATAAAGCATGATCAACAAAATATAGACTTATATAAAAAAAGATATGCAATATCTGAACCCGTCGGTCCTCATTCCCTGTAGTCTTTTATTAAGTCAAAATAATCATTAAGATTGTAAACGCATAATTGGATCAAGCATGATTTTAATTTATTTTTAAATTTTTGAATATTATTTTCATTTCTCATATTAAGTGGCAAACAATTGTAAAATTTAGATCCTGCAAAATCAGGACTAGTTTCAAAGAGATTTGTTTACACACGTTTATCAGCCTCCGTGTCTTGTCGGATAATTATGAAAGTCAGAGTTGAGGGTAAAATTTTGAAATCTAGTTTTGACGTAAATAATACACTTATAAATATATAAAGTATGGAAAGTCAACAGTCTGTGTTCAATAAAATATTTACAACATGATTTTCTATTATCAATATTGAATATCAATCTAAGAATTAATTCTCTTTTGAGTTATAAAAACTTAAGAAGAGTTTCTTGAGTTTCCCCACAAGATAACATTATAGGCCATATATGAATAAACCAATGCATAGTACACACTTATTAATTCATTGGTATTAAATAGAGTTTTCAACTGAAGGATCGCATAGTAACCCTTATTCATTGTTTTGCAGACTTTAGTAACATTTTCATCCCATGTCATATTATTTTCTAGAATGCTACCAAAAAATAATGTATCACTAAAAGGTATTTCCTCAGAACTAATTGTGATCTCATAATCATGGGATGGCTTACAACGCGAGTAGAACTGCATACAAATAGCTTTCTTTGCATTTACCATTAAAGAGTTCCTTTTACATTCTTCTTCTCGTGCCACTCCTAGCGGAGATTGGAAATAATCATGGCCACTGCGACTTTGTTAGCAGCGCGCCTAAAAAGTTCAATCGAACTACACCCGAACCATTCACGTAGATTACGAAGCCACGATATTTTTCTTCTTCCCACACTTCTTTTGCCCTTAGTTTTGCCCTGCATGATGTTTCTTAAAAATTCGTACTTCTCACCTTTCACAATGTGCCCCAAGTATTAAATCTTTCTAGTTTTTATCTCATTTAGAATTTCGCATCTTTTGTCTAAAGTTTGGAGTACTTGCGTGTTAGTGACGCGGTCCATCCATGATATTCTGAGAATGCGCCTATAGCACCACATCTCGAAAGCTTCGATGTTTTTTATGGTCAACTGTTGTAGTGTCCAAGCCTCAACTCCATATAACAGGGTAGAAAAGACATAACACCGCAGCATTCGTATTCGTAACTTTATATTGATATCACGATTGCAAAAGAGTTTGCGCATTCTATTAAAGACTGATCTAGCGATTTGATTGCGACTGATCTAGCGACTTATCCTTTTACACCAGGTTGTCAATTTCTGTACTACCAAGTTTATTTTTGATATGAGTTTGACTTTAGTTGACTCGTCAACTATGATTTTTGAATCATCTGCATAGAGAACTGTATGGTCTGCAGTTAAAAAAATTATTAAATCATTGATATATAAAAGAAATATTAAGGGTCCCAATACAAAGCCTTGCGGTTCACTTTGTTCAAGATTAAAAACAGATGACTTCTTATTATCGACTGTTACTAGAAATTTACTATGTTGTAAGTAATAACCTTAACCAGTTCAAGAAATAACCCCGAAAATCAAGGGCTTCTAATTTATGCAGTATAATTTCAAATTATAATTATATATAATATAAATTTCCACTTGTAATTATATTTACAGTATTAAAAATAAATATAATTGTTGAAAAAACTTGTACTTAATATTAAGGATATACGTACCGGTCCATTTCCTGGTATGGGTCCGCCAGGTTTGAATGGAACTATTGGTCCTCTTGTTGGTGGTGTACCTAGAATTGGTGGTTGACGAGTTCCAGGTATTGGGGGAGGTCCGTATGTTGGCCTTGGTGTAGGAGGTCCAACTGGTGGTCTGTAGGGAGGTCCATATGTTGGTCTTGGAGGTTGGGTTACAGGGGGCCTGTAAGGTGGTTGAGTAACTGGCGGTCTATAAGGAGGTTGGGTAACTGGAGGTCTGTAGGGTGGTTGAGTAACTGGTGGTCTGTAAGGAGGTTGTGTTACGGGTGGCCTGTAGGGTGGTTGAGTGACCGGTGGTCTATAAGGAGGTTGTGTAACCGGAGGTCTGTATGGTGGTTGAGTGACCGGAGGTCTGTATGGTGGTTGCGTTACTGGAGGTCGATATGGTGGTTGGGTTACTGGTGGTCTATAAGGAGGTTGAGTAACTGGCGGTCTGTAAGGAGGTTGGGTAACTGGTGGTCGATATGGAGGAGCCGTTGGTGGTAGTGTAGCGATGGGAGGTCGACTTGGAAATGGTATGGGAGGAACAGGATATTCGTAGCCTTTTTTTGGAGGTAGATATGCGTTTTCCCCGGGTGCTATGGCAGCAAAAGCTGCTGCAGTTAAGCAGCAAAGTACTGCCGGAATCTGCAAATAAAAATATTACTAATTAATTACAGATCGATATATTAATGTTAAACTAATATAACAAACAGTAATAAAGTCATTAAATAAATTTGTAAAATAAAAAATAGTATTTCTTCTTAAATCTTATTTTCACTGCTACATTTCAAAATAAAATATTTAATAGATAGCCAAAAAATGTATGTCTGTAATTATTTGTCGAAGAAAACTATATCATGCACATTATATTATTAATTGTATTATGTCACATATTCATTTAATTCGCGTTTAGAAAAAAAAAATAATCAAATTAACAGCTTTATTTGGTTGATGGATTCGACCGTTACTTGATGGAAATTCATTTTATGTAACAATAAAACATTGAAAACTTTGTTTTCAAACTTCCACAAAATTTATTTTAAATATTATCACTACAGCTGTTTCGGCTGATTGCCTTTCTCAAGTGATCTATTTTGGCTTGGGTTTACAAATTTATAGTCTCTAATGAAATAGGTTGAGGAGGGAAGAACTGTTTGTCTCAAGTTGGTCATTCAGAATTATATCTGTGTCTTTTAATTTGTTGATTTCCATAGATTCTTAAGGCCTTAAGCTATCTTTGTTAAAATCTATGGAAATCAACAAATTAAAAAACACAGATATAATTCTGAATGACCAACTTGAGACAAACAGTTCTCCCCTCCTCAACCTATTTCATTAGAGACTATAAATTTGTAAACCCAAGCCAAAATAGATCACTTGAGAAAGGCAATCAGCCGAAACAACTGTAGTGATAAGCTTTATTTGGTATTTAAATTCTTTCGAAGGCAAAGAAAGACAATTATATATTAGCAAGGCATACGGTTGATGTCACAATTTCAGCTAAGTTTTACAGATGTTGTATCAATTGTAATCGCTTTGTATTCCTGTTAAATTTACTTAGATTTGATAGCAAGGAAACAAGAAAAGAGAGAAAGACAAATATTGATCTCTTTACATACATAAATTTGGAACTTTTTTATCGATACGTGTGGAACATCGTATTTTCTATTTTCATACGTGACAATTGACGAACCGTTTTTTCCATTCAGAGGACGCTGTCATTTTAGGATGTATATTCCGAACAAACCAGCGAAGTACGGGATAAAAATTGTTTTGGTATGCCATTTCCTAACCAAATATATGGTAGATGCAAGTCCTTACTTGAAAAAAAAAACAGAAACCAACGGTTGGTCTTTAGCCTACGCTAAGACTAAATCTATTCACGTCATGGTACGCATTGCAACATAACTATGGACAACTGGCTCACATCGGTTTCCCTACAAATTAACCATAATAGGAACCATGCCTAAGAATAAGAAGTAGATTCCTTAGAAATGATTCAAAGTAAAAGACCGAAACTGTAATACGTCAGTATTTTATTTCGGCCGAAAATTATCTCACCTTAAAATAGTATCTTACACACCACAGAGAAACAAAGTAGTTTTGTTACTTTCAATAATGCATAAGGGAGCAGGAACCATAGAGAAAACCGGCAAGCCATCCTTAATTCATAACTATAGTGAAACCAAAGCAGATGTAAACACCTTTGACCAAATGAGTTTTAATATAAGTTCTAGCAGAAAAAGCTGTATTATTGATTTTAATACTGTATAAAGTGGATTTGGATGTGTCAGTTACACGCAGAAGTACAAGAAAATCACCTACCTGGACAGAAGTCTCATTGAAAAAAAAATACTCCAAGCAACTGCCAATATCCATCGCCAAGAAAAAAGATCTATTATACTTGTGCAATGTTGGAGTTATACCCAAAGACTACAAAGGCGCGATAGATTTTCTACCGACCAAAGACAGAGTTCCAATAGAAAGTGATTCCGAAAGTGAAATAGACAATTGAATTTCTTTGTTGTGTCAACATGAATAAAAACATTTATATTCTCCTATTTTTTTAATTTTTATTCACATAAAACGTCCAATTATTAAATCAAAATCATGATGCAAAATTATTGTATGTCCATTTTTTTTAAAGTATTCTTCTTTAATTTTTTTGTAAGGTAAGGTATTTAGTTTTATTGCCCACTTCAATGTCAATTTAATGACGTATTGTAAAAAAATTACACAAAGTTTAATGTTGAATGTAACACAGTGCAACAAGAGCTTAAACATTCAAATTCGTTTTACTCAAAAAGTACATTCACAGACATACAATAAGTGTGCTTCAATCCATCGATACAAGAGAACTGATAAGAGACGAAAATCTGAAGAGGAGTTATGCGAATCAAATTAATGAAAGAATGCGAGTAATAGAACAAAATGATGATATCGAAGACATGGTCAATGATATTAAAGGAACGATTCTGGCAGTAAACAGGAAAGTTAAAACACAGATCAGAAATAGAAAGCATAACGAATGGATGACGGACGAAATTATGGATCTAATGGAACAGCGAAGGCAACATAAACAAAAACGTAATTAAGACAAATACAAACAGATACACAAAGAAATTTGCCAGAAAATTAAGAAAGCAAAAGAACGTTGGATGGTGAAAAGGTGCAACGAAATAGAACAATTGCAGGAAAAAGGAAATAGTTTTAGACTGCATAAGAAGATCAAAAAAATATCGAATATACACAAAAGCCACCACAGAACAAGAATACGCAACGACAGAAACGAATACATAGAGTCAGAAGAGGAGGTAGCAATAGCGTGGAAAGAATACGCAGAAAGACTTTTTAATGACGAAAGGCCAACACAACCAACGCGCAAACTTCCTTCCGAAAACTTATCAGGGCTATTAATAATGCAAACTGAAATAGAATATGCAGTTAGAACCACAAAGATGCATCAAGCAACAGGTCCAGATGAAATTAATATAGAAGCAATAAAACTACTAGACGAGGAGAATATCGAAATCTTGGTAAGGCTGTTCAATAGAATTTATGATACTGGTTACATTCCGCGAGAATGGCTGCAGTCATTCTTTGTGATGATTCCAAAAATAGCTAATGCCACAAAATGCAATGAACACCGCTTAATCAGTTTAATGAGTCACTTGCTGAAATTTTTCCTTAGGATATTACACTCAAGAATATACAAGATACTAGAAGAACTTAGCGGGTCCACACAATTCGGTTTTAAGGGAGGACTAGGAACAAGAGAGGCAATTTTATGTTTGAACACCTTAATACAAAACTGCTTAGATCAACGAAAAGATGTCTACCTCACCTTCATCGACTACGAGAAGGCATTTGACAATGTTAAACATGATATCATGATGGAACTACTACATAGGGCCAACATTGACCAGAAGGAGATCAGAATTATTTAGAATCTATACTGGAACCAAATGGCAAAGGTGAGGATTGATCAAGACCAATATACGGATGAATTTGAAATCCGGAAAGGTGTCCGCCAAGGCGGCATACTCTCTCCGATGCTTTTTAATTTATATGTTGAAAATATATTTGCGGAAGCATTAGAAGACACGGAATTAGGCATTAAGGTGAACGGCATACCAATTAGCAACCTACGCTATGCAGACAACACAGTGGTTATAACTGATCATTTGGAAGATCAGCAGTTATTACTTGATAGGGTGAATAGCATAGGTAAAAAATATGGCCTTAAAATGAACATTTTGAAAACGAAATATATTGTCATTAGCAGAAACCCTCCAGAAAACCCGATAATATGCATAGGTGACGATCGTATAAAACGCGTGAAAACGTTTAAATACCTTGGCACCACAATCAATGACCAATCGGATCCACAACACGAGATAAAAACCCGAATACAAATGGCAAGACAAGCTTTTGTGAAATTCAGACTGCTCATATGTAATCAAAACCTAAATTTCGAAATACGCTACAGAATGGTCAAGTGCTACATATGGTCCATCTTGCTTTATGGCATGGAAACGTGGACTTTGAAAAAAACATCTATCAACAAAGTTGAAGCGTTTGAAATGTGGTCATTGAGAAGAATGATGCGCATACCTTGGGTGGATAGAGTTCGAAACGATAACGTTCTTAAGAGAGCCGGCGTAGCAAGAGAACTCTTTGAATTAATTAAAAAACGCAAGATTGGTTACCTTGGGCACATATTGAGAGGAGCAAAATATGAAATACCACAGTTAATCCTACAAGGGAAGATCGAAGGTAGGAGAGCAGCCGGCCGCAAACAATTATCCTGGTTAAGGAATATTAAAGAATGGACAGGAATACACAACACAGGCGAGCTGTGTCACGCCGCCAAGAACAGAATTCTAGTAATGAGATAGTCGCCTACGCACTTTGGTGTATGGCATGTTAAGAAGAAGAAGAAGTCATCGATATGATACTTGCACTGAGATTGGTGGTATACCTCAATTTGACTATTAAACATTGTGTTAGTAATTTAAAGAAACCCCTTAACTGATACAGCGTCGTATACTTGATTACCGATTAGGAAAAATCTTCACGTTACAAAAGAACACTTTTATTTTCATTATCGTAGTTATATAAAATCTTAATGTAGACGTTTCAACATCTTGTAACAATCCTCGGTAATGACGCTTATCTAAAATTACACGCCATCCAAATGATATCATATGTTATTGTTAATAATTGCCCGAAGTACTTTGTTCAATGATTGATGACTTGTCTTCTATTATATCATGTTGTCTTGTATGTATAGATAACTCAACGTTAACGATATTTATTGTGTCTCGTTATTTGTGTACAAGTTCGCATCGATTAGATTGAAGACAACTTATAGAATACAGAAGCAGGTAGTTGTCAAAACAACAAATTTAAGTGTCTAAAAGTTGATATGAGTACTTGATTTTTTAATTAACATGTTTATGATTTGTTTTATTTTGATTGGAACTTATAATAAAGAGGTTCTTAAATTTTTTATATATAATTTAAATAAATAAAGATATATCGCTTGAGAAAGTTCCCTGTTTAACGTCGCGTTGATTTTATTTGCTTTAGTTATACTTCCTATAGTTTTGCTCAGTTTATTCTTTATTTGCGAAGATGTTTGG